GTGCTATACTCACCCATCTTGCAATGAGTGAGATGATACAATATCTACCTGATGAGATGAAGTGAGGTGAATGACATAGGCATTCTGACGTAGTGTTAAGGCTGCTATTGACCTGATGATATGTCTGAAGGGGGGAAGGGGTCATCGATCCATGAAGATGTCATGTTTTCATCCACAAATTTAATGCCTTTTCCATCTTAGGAACTAATCATGCACTGTGGCCATATATTTTGCAGTTTGAGATACGACAACAGTAGTACAAATTTATTTCCCTTCACAGTTTCACGACAGAAGATTCATTCTTGCTGGAGATCTTAGCAACTGCAGCATATGATTTTTGTTCTTTCCTTATGAAGTCGGGAACTTTCACCTTTTCACTTAAAAGGACGCACTTTACGTATTCTCTTCAGCATATCTGAATTGCCAGCATCATTACTCTTGTGCTTTAGGGCCATGATTAAGTAGCATAAGGATTACTTGAGCACAATCACTGGGATACCACAGCAATTGACCTGGTAACTGAGAGGGCTACTGCATGACTAACAGGCGGGTGGTGTAAACAGTATAGATATGCTGGCTGAAGGGATAAATCACGTCACAGGCAGGACAGAAGGGGTGGCATGAGATTTCATCACACCTCTCAGAACAGTTTGCAATTTTAAAGGTTTGACTTGTTTATTTCTGGAATTTTCCATTGCATATTTTCAGATGGCAGTTGACAGTAGGTAACTGAAACCATGGCAAGTGAAACCATAGCTAAGGGGGAATACTTAGCAGAAAGCAGGTGATTTAGACACCAACTGACTTCAGGGTTGAACAATCAGCAGAATTTTAGAGATTTGAACAATGTGGATAATTATCATCTGATGGATCAACTAGACATTCATTATCTAAATTTGACTGTAAGAGTGCCCACTGTGCAAATTAAACCATTCTTTTCCTCTTTGGCCAGAACAATAAGATTTTTTTGTTGTTGTTAATTCTCACCCCAAAATTGATTTTTTCATTAATTTTTAGAGAGAGTAGAAGGGAAGGGGAGAGACAGAAAGAGAAAAATTGGTTGCCTCCTGAGCCTAACCAGCTAGGGCCAGAACAAAAAGATTTTATATCTGTTTTGCTACATCTCTGTCTTATTAATGAAACATTTTTATACCTTTCACATAAAGCATCAAATGTGCATCCCAAAGAAATGTCTAGGTTTACAAAGGAGACATGTATGATAAGGCATGAGTTGCTGGGAGCTTGGTCCCTGTATTCAATATAGAAATCAGATGAGAATTTTTAGCACATGAAGCACTCTGTGCATCTAATTTCCAAGTCTACATTGGTCTCTGCTGAAGAGTCTGCTGCCACATTCCTAGGAAATTTGGATTTTTTTTCTATAAATTGTGATATAAACTTGGCTCACTTAATAATATAAGAAGTTTGTCTGGGAAGTTAGTTGCTTTTGTACTTTATTTAAGGCCTGTTTCGCCAGTGGCCCACACGGCCCATATGGTACCATATATAGTAACCATACCTAGGTTGTCTCTAAACTAGATTACTAAAAAAAAGCAAAAAATAATAATAAATAAATAAGCTAGATTACTAGCTGGAACACCCTCTGATTTCAGCTTTGACTCCTGCAACTTGCCTTGCTGACATGCTACATTCCAACACCAAATAATTTGCATCAGCTAGTAGTTTAAAACTAGATTAGAGTTACACAGAGTTCAAATACCACCAGATTTGTTTCTTGGCTGTGTAACTGTAGTCAAATTACTTAATCCTTCTTAGCCTGCTTCCTTATCTATAAAATGATCCTTATCTATATAATGAGCATTTGTTGGAATATTCCCTGGCTCCCATCCCTCTGAGACTTGAGTCAGGTGCAGATACGCTACAGCAGTGAGGTGTTCATCCCAGTCCACCCCAAAAGGGCAGTTATCTGCAGACTAGAGCTCTTGAAATCACCTATGCAAATCCATCACCATTTTAAATATCCCAGTGGATAGCGCTCTTTCCACCATATGCCAAGATTCTAATCAATCTTGATCATTACAGTTCTACCCACCCCCCGCCAAGAGGTTCTCTGGAAGTGATCATGCTTACTGAGCAATTACCGTGAGCCACTCACTTTACCAATATTAACCCATCTAATACCTGTAACAGCCCATGAGGTGAACACTATTGTCATTCTCATTTTACAGATGAACAAACAAGGCACAAAGAGGTTAAGTAACTGATACATGTCTTAGCACTCATTGCCACAGAAACAGAGGTATTTATTTATTCTATGTGGTTGTTGAGGGTTAAATACGAAATTATGTAAATAGAGTGTTTAAGACAGTTCCAGGCATATAAAACCTGATCAGTAAGTGATAGCTACTATTAATTAGTTCAGGAACACACAGTGTACTTTCAAGACCAGTTCAAAGTTTTCTGTGAAACCTTCCTTAGTCCTTTACCCAGAGTTCACTTCTGTGTGCTCCCATTACACCTATTAATAATCCTATAATTGTCTTCCAATTTTGAGTTCTCCTTAAATATTTCTGTATACTTTTTCCATGATCTCAAGAATCTTAATATTCTGGAGTCATTCCTGCTAAGTATACTTAGAAAAAGAAGACACTCAGGGATGAAATTGAAAAGAAGTAGCATTAATAGCCCATAGAAGTACATGCCTCTGTGATGCTGTCTTGAAGGACCTAAAATAAACCAAAGTCTCAAAATGTACTTTTTACAGAAGAGGATGCTAAGATGTGTTAGAGAAAAATTGAAAATAATAAAATCTGCTCAGGAAGATGGGTAGAAATTTGAACTGCTCACATTATTTGCTTTTTTATGAAGTATATTTAATTAAAATATTACTATAGTATGTCATTTGTAAAGCCTCTGGATAAACTTTTTAATAAAACCCACAGGAATAAATCTTGAATGAAATTCCTCATTGAATTTAGCTAAAATTATTTTAAAGCAAATGATAAAGGAACAAAGCAAAAGAGGGGGAAAAAGCAAATGTCAAATTGGCTTCTATCTTTTAAACTTTTATTATCTTGCCTGTTTCTTGAATAACAAATCTTCAAAGCAAGCACATACAGGATATCAGTCTTTTATCTCACTCCTATCAGAGGAAACCACCTTACAGGTAACTAAAAGTGATTCCCCAAATAGCAAAGAAACTTAAAAAAAAAACCCCACAATATTACCAGTAATAGACATTATAAACTTCTCAAGCAGTTATTGTGCCTAATTGCAAAGCAAGAAATACTATTCTTCAAAAAAATTGAATTTTTTAACAGTTCTACAACTCTGTTGAGATCTGTCATGGGAATTGTTTTTAATGAAAAATAATAGTTGATTTAATGCAGATTATTTTCAGAATTTTGAGGCATAAACCAAAGACTCTGAATAATGCTAACTTTGTGATTATGTTACATGGTTGGTTATCCAATTATTTTAAAAACTTCCAAATGATTGTAATTCTTCTTTGCTATTCACTGATTCTGATGGGTACTCCTGGAGGTTCTATTTGCCACAGCTTTGTGACCCTATGAGTTATTCCCATAACTAACCAAATGGTGTGTCACACTGAATTTTTGTATTCCTCCCAAAATCATAGGCTTAAGCCCTAATCTCCAATGTGATGGTATTTGGGATGGGGCTTTGGGACAATAATTGTCTGCTGTGTCCCTGTCTTCCACTTTTTACAGGAGGGTTTTTTAGAAAGATTTTCTTTGCATCAGACCCTCATCAAAATTTATTTGCTGACAAAGCTGGTTTTCCTACAAACCCACAGGAGCAGTTGAAATGAAAGCTGATGCAAGTCCTGCTCTTCCTAGAATACATTTTGAGTGTGCATTGTGTGTGTATCAGTTGGGTCAGCTACACTGACAGAGCTGGGCCAAGATATTTTCCTGCCTGTTAATCAAGGCCACACAGACAAAGCTCAAGGAAGGATGACCCTGGCCTCAGGAAGTTTTGAATCAGTTTCTATTTATAACCCACATGCAGTAGAACTTGAGATCAGGTCTTTACTCAGTTGATAGGAAAAATTCTCTGCCAAATTTTGTATTTGAGGAAACAGTTTATGGGCCTCTATGAGTGAAGCCTTTATGTGAAAGGAAGGAATGTGACAATAACTGTATTTTTGCTGATTTGGGTCAAGGGTGTGGTGGCAGAGATGTGGAAATTTCAGTCAGTGACATAATAGGTTATTACATTTTAAAGCAAGAGATAGTTAATGGTACCTTGGATTGTCTTTAGCACTGTGTGTATTGGGTCCTCTGCTGCTAATAAAAATGTTGAAATAGGGTATGTGATGGGCTAATACTATTTCTCAAAATAGGATAGGAGGAATAAATTAGCTATTGGTGTTTTTCTAGACTAGCTGGTTCTTCCTTTGGACATATACATAAACCTTTGGTTTTTTGAGATGTATTTCTGTTATGTATGCTTTTTATAATACTCTGTAGGTCCTTGTTTCATTAAGAGGAGGTTTTGTAAAGAGTTAATTTATTATAAAATAATATTGTGTACTACTATGTATAATCTCTTACAAAATCTCATTCTGCCAAACTTTAGGAAATTAAATATGGCAGGACATAAAAACTGACAATTTGAGAAATACTACAAGTAATATTTTCAGAATGCCTTTATAGAGTTGAATTACTTAATGGACAACAGGTATGTTTTTATAGACTCAATATAAATGAATTACTTAGAGATAGGTGGGCAATGTTTTAGAGATGTTTAAGATATTATAGCCCAGCCGGTGTTGCTCAGTGGTTGAGTGTAAACCTGTGAGCTAGGAGATCACAGTTGATTCTCGGTCAGGGCAGGTGCCGGGGTTGCAGGCTTGATCTCCAGTTGGGGGGGCATGCGGGAGGCAGTCGATCCATGATTCTCTCATCATTGATGTTTCTGTCTCTCTCTCCCTCTCCCTTCCTCTCTGAATTCAACAAAAATATATTTTTTAAAAATTATAAAACTGTTAACATATTCTTTTCTTATGTTAATAGGATTATCCAAAATAAAGTTGCAGCCATCTTCAACAAGGTTCAATGATTTAAAAAATTTTATAAAGAAATTTCCAAGTTAAAGATGAAAGAAAAATACTGGAATTATTTGGATTCTAACTGACAGGATAAAGAACACAGAATTTCCTAGTTACACGTAATGGAACCGCAGTAAAATTCATCACTTTGGTATGCACCCAACTGGGAACATGGATGTTGGTTTTTCTCGTTCTGCTGTTCAGACACTGTCAAGAAGCCACTGCAAAAACATCAAACAAAAAATTTCTCAGTGGGAAGGACGGACTAATGGTATATCTAATCCAGATAAGTGGCACCAGAAGGACTTTGGAACGAAATATAGTAACTATCATCAGGAGATTCTTCTTAAGAAGAATCGTGTTGCTGAGGGAAAGAGCAAAAAGTTGGATGCAACCAACTCTCAAAACATTGGTCTAGATGTTAATGAAGATGCCAAAAGCCGGGATCAAAGTGAGGATGAAAGTGAGAAACGTGAATGCAACGATACTCACTTCTTTAAAAGTGAATCAGAATCCAACTGGGTATGTTCTCGGGTCAAACAAATTGAAAGCTGGAAAGAAGTTGCTTTGGATCCAGAGACTTCATTACCTCCAGGAAATTTCTATACCTCACAGATACTGTGGAAGAAAATCCAGGCACTTCCCCCAGATAAAGTCCTCAATTTGGCTCTAGAACATTGTGTCTCTTCAGAAAAGGAACTGAATTTCAGAGTTCTGGAGAGTTCCTATGGAGTAACCAAGAGCTTGGAAAATATCTATTCTGAACCGGAAGGACAAGAATGTGGACCTTCTATAAATCCTTTGCCAAAACCTCGTAGGACATTCAGATATTTGTCTGAATCTGGTGTTATGCCATGTAAAGAAAGAAACTGTGACAGAAAACACTGTGAAAATAATTCTTGTGCAGAGTCTTATTTGGCCTCTTCTCAGGAACCTGAACCAAAGAAATATGGGGGGAAAATCAGAGGGAGATCTAAAAGGTATGTTTTTATTCAATAGGTAATGATTTGTAAATATTTTCCTTACTGGACCCTGGAGTTCCTTTTTTCTTTTCAAACAGTTTCCATTCCCCTAATTTGATTGTACAGATGTTGATTAACCCGAGGGGAAAGTACGTACACGAGGAAATAGTAGAAGCATGCCCAATAACTAACACAATCTACTGACATAGGAGCATCAGAAAAACTTCCATTTTCTGTCTTCAAGCATGTGTAGGGAAGCAGGTACAGTCTTCTACTTCATTTAGAGCATGCTGGCCCTAGTCTCCCTTTTTATTAGAGAATGAATTTAAAAAAGGTACCCAATGAAGAACATGAATAGAAATCGGCTAAAAGCCTCCAATTTTCTCATTGTGCATATAGGGTATTAGCCTAGTTTACTCTTAGATATCTGATAAAACACCTTTACAATTTTGCACATAAGTCTTTTACTTACCGATTTTTGTCTGTCATACCAATTTAAAGAAGACTAGAGTTTTAAAAGATAGAACTTGAACATATATCTCCTTTCTTAAGGAAATCCTTTGAATTTGAAGACATTCAGCACTTCCGAAATCGGAACACACAGAAGATGCATGAAGAACTTGGAAGAAATTCTGGCTCAGCACTTTATTACACACAGTCTGAGGACAATATCTATGAGGATATCATATGTAGGTGTCCACAAACTTTGCAATTCAATTGAATGAGTATGTATTTCTTGGAGCCCTTAACTATAGGATGGTGTTTTCTTTTACAATCAAGCATATCTTGCTCTAGATTTTTCTTTTTAATATGGAAACCTTTGTTGTATAAATTCTTTTATTCTTTAATGGAATATACAGCTAGTGTAGTGGACTGCTCAGTGCAGAAGTAGATGTTTCTAGTACCGTATTTTGAGAATATTTTTTAGCTTGCTTGGACACCTGAGTAGTTTATAAGCTTAAAGTGCCATTAATTTTGAGACCTCCCTCCCTCCAGCAACGGGGAATAGAAAGCTGAACATACTTTTTAAAAATATGTCTTTTCCTAGCTGTGGTCACTTTGTTTTCATTTAGTTACATTCCTCTAAACTTATTTTTTTGTTGTTTTTCAAGATCCCACCAAAGAAAATCCATATGAAGCTATTCCATTGCAGTCTTTTCCCATGTGGAGATCCCCTTCAGCATGGAAGCTTCCACCCCCCAAAAGTGCCTTCAAAACACCCAAGGTATAACCAGAGAATTAGCATAAGAAAACATTACATCTTGTTACCTAGAAAAAGGTTGAAATGGTTTAACTAGGGCCAAAACTGAGAGGCATTAAAATATGGGGTTGTTTTGTAATGGTGGGTTTTTTTATTCTTTGTTTTGGGGGTAGCATACAGATTTTTTTTTTCTTTGGTTGGAGGGGTTGTTTGTTTGTTGTTTAGCACTTTAAAAAAATTGAATGTAAGCACCTTTAGACAGGCCATGAACTTTGCAGTTCCCTATAGTTAGTTACCACAGCTCCCTATTAGTCACAGGAAGTCTGGTCCCTGAAAACCTTCACCACTCCTGGAAGCAAAGGCTGCCTTGAGTCAGTGAGGACTCTGAGCCATGGTTTTCTGGGAATTGGATTACAATGTAGTAGAACAACTTTGGATTAGAAGCTTGATGAAAAAGAAATTACGGTATCCTCATGTAAGATGATTTTAAAGAAAAGATAAATATTTTTCTGGGGTAGCTTTGAATTTTAGAACACAGACATTAACTAGATGATCTTACCCTTACCACACTACATCTTCTCCTGTTTTAGCTTCCTCCCAAACCTCCATTCCTTCACCGGAAGACCATGGAACTGAAGAACTCGCAAGCTTATTTAAGGTCAAAGTTCACAAAGGATACCACTTTGCCTGTCACTTTAACTGAATGGAAGCTCTTCCGAGCTGGAGAAGTTGCAAGCAGGAAAAGAAAAAATGTTCCAAGGGTAAGGATTTTCTTTCTTTGACTCTTATTTCAGCATTTATTGTAAGAAAATGAGAATAAATAAACTTTAGATGGATATAAATAATGGGTTAGAACTGACCCACTGGAATTACAGTGGCTCTCAACCTTCCTAATGCCGCGACCCTTTAATACAGTTCCTCATGTTGTGGTGACCCCCAACCATAAAATTATTTTCGTTGCTACTTCATAACTGTAATTTTGCTACTGTTATGAATTGTAATGTAAATATCTGATATGCAGGATGGTCTTAGGCGACCCCTGTGAAAGGGTCGTTCAACTGCCAAAGGGGTCGCGACCCACAGGTTGAGAACCGCTGCTTTAGATGGAGGGCTTCACTTCAGCTACCTTAGTTCTCATTGCAGTCAACTGCTTGGGTCAGGGAAGCACTAGAATATCATATATAAGAACATTTTATTAAGCTGTCTTCGGTCTTCTCACTCACTTACATTATTGCCAAAGTGAATTCAGTTTTGTGTGCAAGTTTAGATTTTCAGTAATTACAAAGTATAGGCCATTAAATTTGGGACAAATATTTCCATTCAGAGGAAGAAAAAAAGAAATTTGTCTATTACTTGGGAATAGAAATTTTCAGCAATTATATTAAATAAACTACTTCTTTCTCAAGGAGAAAAGTCAATAAGTCTGTAGTCATCTCAACCAGAGCCAATGGAACCAAAATGAAGAAATTGGGATTATTTGTAGACAAATATATATATTTTAGGAGAGACACTTAATAAATTACATGAAAATATTTTCAAACTCTTTATGATACTTTGTTCTTCTGTAATTCAGAATGTCTTCAGGATTACTGTTAAGAAATGAAAAAAATCCAGTCATTTAAATAGTACTCCTTTCCTTAATCCCATTCGTTTAGCACAGTTTTTGTACCTGATTTTAACACTAAACAGAAGTCACAGCTGTTTCTTGGTTTAGTAACTGATTGGCTCCTTGGGAAATACTCTGTTCCATAATTACTTTAATTCTTCTGATCTATTTCCTGCCCCTCCCACTTTAATATGTGAAAAGTTAAAGACACAGTTTCTAAAATGCACTAAACATATCTCTCTCAGTGAAAAAAAAATCCTTAGCTGTTTATTCTCCTATGAATGATGAGGAAGAGTTAAAAACCAGAGGTTTAAAGAATTAACCAGGCCTTCAGCAGCCTTTCTCCCCTTCGATAGACCACGCTGGCACAACGAAGCCGCTTCCCACATGGCCCAGAAATAACTCATCGTGTGTTCCCAGGGGCCAGAACACAAACACAATAGAGACTTCATTTAAGATGTGGTTTTTGGGACGGCATGAACAAATACTTAGGAATTATGGATTGTAGAGTCTAATGAGACCCGAGGAGATTTGAGTGCTTTAGACTTCATGCCTCTATTTTCTGTACTGTGGATCTCCTGACTGCTTGAAGTATGTTCTCTTTCTGATTATAGGTGATAGGATCCAACTTTTCCTTTTCTAATATTTCCCAAAGGTTTTGGAGGGGTTTTTGTTTGTTTGTTTGTTTTTTAGAATTATGGGGTGGGAGGAGGAGGATGAGGAACTCTTGATTATCAGGCAGGAACAGACTGTTAGCATTTCTACCTGTGTTCCTCCTTGAATTACATGCTTTTCGGATGTTCCATTCGCAATACAAATTTTGGTTTTGGAGTATCTTTCGGAACAATATTCCACACGAAAGCCGTTTTCATTTATTTCCCCTTTGATGACTGGAGCTATCCCTGGAAGAGAAACTGGTTTCATAGTTTGAAAATCACTGATCTAGTCCATATGGCTCTTCCCCACCCTTCCTTTCTTACCCTCCTGTGGAAGCCTGGTTTGCTAGAGTAGATTCCCTAATGTTTGTGTCACATGTGTACAACAATGTGGTTCCCATCATTTCTTAGGAAGGCTGTTCCACAGTATTTCCTACAATTAGAAGATAAAAGTAGGCTCTTCTTCCTAGCTCATAACCAAATTTAACTTTTATTACTTTACCTCATCTTTCTAGGACAGATTGTTCCCTTTCCTTTATAATAATTGAGTATACTTTGGAGTATACTTTTCAAATGCACATTAATATTTATAGTAGTTATGCTCATATTGACCAATGTCACCCAGGTAAGTTTAATTTAAAAAATGTATGCTAGTTTTGTTCATTTGCAACCAAAAATATGTGTTTGCTCTCATATATCATTCCATAGCCCCTAACAGTACCTTTTTACATTGGATTCTTTTATTTGTTTTTCATAATGCTAATATTTAAGGACATTGGTAATTTTTCACTTGCATGGAAGCCACAAAAAAATCTTTAAAAGAACAAACTCATCCAAAAATGTGGGGATAATCTGCATATTGGAAGCACATGTTTCTCACATGTTATTTTTTACTCTGGACTCATTCACTGCCTATGGATTGCCAACATCACTGGAGAAACAAGGACAAAAGAGAAAACAAGAGTGTTTTTCTCCAACTTTGTTGGTTATTTTATATAATGTTCCTAACAATTGTAATTCTGAGCATTAAATATGTTAAATCAGAATTAATAGTTAAGAAAAAGCTTGGAATTTTAAGTAAAAGATACGTGAAAAAAACTAATCACTTCTTCCTTTTTTAAAGTGGCTGTTGATCAGCTTTAATTCTTTCCTTTTTAAAAAAATATATTTTTATTGATTTCAAAGAGGAAAAGAGAGAGAAACATCAATGATGAGAAAGAATCATTGATTGGCTGCCTCCTGCATGCCCCCTACTGGGGATCAAGCCCACAACCTGGGCATGTGCCCTGACCCAGAATCAAACTGAGACCTCCTGGTTCATAGGTTGACACTCAATCACTGAGCCACACTGGCCAGGCTCTCTTCTTTTAAGCCCAGTCTGTGTATATGTCTTTCTCTGTCTCTGTCTTTCATATACTCCTCCCAGCAGCAAAGAAATCATTCTGATGAATAATGTTTATTAAATGGAGCATAGTTATTGTACTCGAGCATATTTGAGAGTCTCCTAATTTTATGATGTTTCGAAAATAAATTGTAATATTAGTGCTTCTAGTAGTAAAGAGATAGAGTATTCCCTTTGACAAAAACTTTCTATGTATGATTTATCCTCTCATTATTAAAAATTCCTGGGAGCAAAAATAACTGAGCCCCACCCTGCCTTCCAAGTGAGTAAGTATTCCACTTCCTACTCTGGGCAGGCAAAAACTTGAGTCTGATAGTAAATGCTTGGTCACCCTATTAGGTGCAGTATCTAGATTTCCTGCATGTCGTGACACGGAATGACAAGGAATCTCTCCAAGAGCCTGTGCTGGGTTCTTCTGGAAAGGATTCCCCTTCTTTTACCCACGTAACATGGACTTTGTTTAGAGCAACGTACTATCTTAGTAAAGATCATTTTAGCCCTGGCTGGTTTGGCTCAGTGGATAGAGCGTTGTCCTGCAGACTGAAGGGTCCTGGGTTCGATTCTGGTCAAGGGCACATGACCGGGTTGCGGGCTCGATCCCCAATGTGGGGCATGCAGGAGGCAGCCAATCAATGACTCTCTTTCATCATCGATGTTTCTATCTCTCTCCCTCTCCCTTCCTCTCTGAAATCAATAAAAAAATATATCTTTTAAAAGATCATCTTAGATTCAAAATTGAGAAATGTAAGTTTCATTTAGAAAATGGACCTTTTTCTCAATGTGAATCTCAAATTGATACTAGGCTGCAAACTTGTTGGTGTTGGTTTTAACTTGTACTTTTCTGGTCTTTTTCAGTTTGTATTGAGAATAGATGACATATTTGAATCAAAGAGAGGGAAAAAGAGAGTAAAGTTACATCCGTACACTGGAAAAGACATACCTCCTTCTAAAGGTAAGAATTGTTCCAGCTGTCCATAGCTATCAGCATATGAGGAGAGAATCATTATATAACTTAATGGTTGATGTGAATTATAATTTTTGGTTTACTTTCCTATCTATCCCACTTAAATATAAAACTTATTTAGGATAAGGGACTATTTCTTATTCTTCCTCAAGCTCCTCTTATTTAGTTCTTTATCAAGTAATAAGTAAATAAATAGATAATTAAATAAATAAAAAATATATACATATAAACCAATGAGATTAATTTTCATAGGTAAATTTCATCATTCTTTTGTAGTCCTACTTTCATTTATAGTCATTTATCAGTATAGACTCTTTCAGTGGAGAAATGAAAATATTACTAGGTATATATTTACTGAAAGTATGTGGTACTCAACTTGTAGTCAGTCATCTTATAAGTTCCATAGTTTTATCCTTCAGATGCCTAGATAAAACTTACATTGTTCTAATTAAGAAGCTTTCAACATCCAGAGTAAATTATTAGAATTTTCTTTAAAACTTATGCAAGGTTCTTTAACTTGCCCTAACCAGTTTGGCTCAGTGGATAGAGCGTCGGCTTACGGACTAAAAGGTCCCAGGTTCGATTCCGGTCAAGGGCATGTACCTTGGTTGCAGGCACATCCCCAGTAGGAGGTGTGTAGGAGGCAGCTGATCAATGTTTCTCTCTCATCAATGTTTCTAACTCTCTATCTCTCTCCCTTCCTCTCTGTAAAAAATCAATAAAATATATTTTAAAAAACATTTTTAACTTGGTTATCTGGCAAAGAATATGCAGGATTTAGTAGTTTTTGTCTGTGAGATTCATAAGTGAAAAACAACAACCAAATCATACCAGAAGAGTATATTTTATAGTTTTGCAGACTTCCAAAGACAAAAATTTTTAAATTTCCTTTAAATCTATTCTACCTTCTAACAATTACTATCTGAAAGTGAAATTCTTTGTGTTACAATTCAAGACTCTTTCTTCTTACTCTGCAATGATTAAAATCAACTGGTCACCATGTCAGTTTTTATATTCTCAAAAGCAATTAGTAAAAGACGTTTCAGTCTTCTACAGAAGAAATACTTATGATTATTATTAATAATAGCTAACATCACTGGATGAAGCAATAGTTTCTTTACGTACTTACCTCGTGTGTAACATATGACCACATTAGGAGATAGGGACTATCCTAATTGTACAGACTAAGAAACAGAGGAGGAAATGTCGTTTTAAGTCAAGGAACACGGAACCACAAGGTCTTACCCTTTTCCGTCACCAACAGTTACTCTCAGTTTTTCTCACCAACTTTGATTTTTAGCAGTTTCACTGTCTCCTCTCCATGTTTCCTTATCTTCACTAAGGATATGGCCAAAGGCTTTTAATTTGTATAACCCAGAACTAGATACAGAAGATGAAAACTGATGCCAGATATTATGCTGGATCCTTTCAAATATATTATCATTCGTTTTCTAAACAGCCCTCTCACTGTTGTTGACAAGGACTAAATTATAAGTTGCAAATTATGTACAATATCAGGACACTGGGACCAGGACAAATTCTAAAGAACATTATCATTTCCCCAGATGAACAGCGTTCTATTGATAACTATACTCTCCAGATATGGCACCCTCAGTAGGTTAATACTGATCTCTTATTCAAATGCTTTATGCCTTATGGATTAGGAACATTTTAGTAAATTCGGCTGTGAAACAGTTTTTTGAAGAGACAAATTCTTTTTTCACTGCATCATTACTGAAAAGGAAAAAAATTCAGCAGCCTGAATTGCCAACTTCTAGCACACACACACAAAACGCAGTCCTTAAGTTGTAACCCTTTCCTACAAGACTGTTTTTCATTTGTGTGCCTCAAAGACAACATGCATTTATATGGGTCTTGTTTTTTTATTTTTATTTTTATTTTTTTTATTCTTTTTTAAAAAAAATATTATAATAAGTATTACAAAGGGTATTACATATGTGTCCTTCCCCCACCCCCCGCCCTTGACAATCCCTGCCCTCCCTTACCCCCCAGTGTCTTATGTCCATTAGTTATGCTTATATGTATGCATACAAGTCCTTCAGTTGATCTCTTACTCCCCTCCCTTCTGCCCCCCAACCCTCTCTGGCCTTCCCACTGCAGTTTGACAATCAGTTTGAGGCAGCTCTGCCTCTGTATCTATTATTGTTCAAAAGTTTGTAATGGTCTTTATTATCCATGAGACAACATGCATTTACCCAGTCTCCATGACTAACTTCTCCAGCAGGCCAGGGGGCTTTCTCTCAGGCCTGAGGATCTCCTGGTTCTATGGTCACTGTTCTCAGATTTTTGTTTTCCTTCTTATGCTTTTGTCTGCTTATCAACAATGTCTAGTAGAACCAAATAATTATATTTACCTACTGTGTCAGTACATGCTAAGCTGTACTGAATCTATTTCAACCTAAACATTTAGAATGATTTAGTGCCATTCTTCAGTTCTGTCATTACAGTTTTCTGTGTTAAAGTCACATGTAAAAAGAAACAACCTAGTACTTTTTTGATCCCTATAGATTCTGCGTAGATTTTCTTGGTGGCTTATATACCCCTTAACCTTAACCTTCATTTAGTGTCCCAGAGTGCAAGTCACAAAACCATAGATGTGAATGTATTATAAGGTCTTTTTCAGTTATATTACCTCTCCTCCCTTTTCCCTTTCTTTTCTTTTTTTCCTTAAACTTCCTAGGCTCCACGAAGGTGCCTGCAGCTAAGGACTCAGGAGCTGACAGCAGTTGTTCCTTCGTACCGAACAGTGTTTTATAGCTCCAGTATACTTTTTGTCATGGTGGTTAATTTGAAGTTACAAACATATGTGGTACCCAATATTTAAATAGCTAATTTTTTTGTAACATCTCTTATGTCCCTGGGCCTTGTTTTTCCTGATATATTTAAAGTTTTCCCCTTTCTTTACACTTTATTTTTGCCCTAACTTTTCAGATTTAATCTAGACATTTTTTGTTCACTTGTAAAACACTCTCTTGTGAAAGTATAGCCCTTATTCTCAAGAAACTTAAAATTTGTTTGGGAAAAATAAGAGCAGCTTAAAGCAGAATTCCGAATAGAAGAGTTCAGTTTGGCCTAGAGTTCGCTTAGAGGTGTCGAAAAGAGAGATTGTTACTTCATAAACTTATTTGGTAACCCCCCTTGCCCCAACATTTTCCATGATTTTAAATTCATAGTTTGTTCTGTGTTGAGATTTTTGTTTAGTCAGGTTGGTGTTCAACCTTGGATACTTTATTCGAGAATTTAAAGATAAGGATATGGATGTAGAAATAGACTCCAAACTAGACTTCTTAAGGCTAGTCTGAACTGCTGTTAATTTCTAGGATCAGGAAGGGAGGGAGTGGGAAGAAGATGGAATAGAGTCTCCTCTCGGCTTTTCATTTTCTTGTGACTGTCCTGCCCTGATGTAACTAAATGGTTGGAGACAGGCTCATTTTTCCTGACGCCAAACCTCCAGGTCTGTGGAGGTTTCATATTGTTTTCATCCTCGTGTACTTCCTACCGTTGGACAATGCAAATGGAAACTACTTCTCTCTTTTCAGGTGAAACCAGTGGGAACGAAAGTGATGCCGAGTATCTGCCAAAGAGTGAGTGAGTCAATGGGCTGCTCCCTTTCTCGTGATGATCACGGTATAGGTGGGGTGGCACCTGCCTGTGTGATTAAGCATGTTTTCCCACAAGAAGTGTCATATTGTAGGAGATTTCATTATAAGAGCTTCTTGAGATTTGGCGAACTAAGCAGCACACTGTCAGATGTCTGACAGCATTAAACATCTCCCGGAGTGGAGTGAGGCAAACCCTCATGGTTCTAAGATGGAATGTTCTTAGGGGAGTGGCAGAGCTGCGTGTCCAGACAAATGTGTAGACATTTCCCAGCAGCCAAAATAGGGTATGTGTGAATCATCCGCTGAGACAAATACTTGTCACTCAATATCAGATTTTTCATAGTCGCTCAAGTGTAATTAAGTGACTTTGATATCTCTGACACTGAGACAGAAAACATTGATCTCTCTCTTCTTCATAGGCATTTATATTCCAAATTATTGTGCCATTTATTTTTTGTTAGACTATAGAATATGCCATGCAGTTTTGCTATATTTGTTCTTATGCTTCATGGTGCTCGATACCCTTCATTTAATGGATTCTCACCGGAAGTTTTTCAGTTCCTGTTTAACTGATTGGCAAACAAGGCATGGAGAAAGTAGGAGACATGAATAATCAAAGCTGCGTGCAGGACAGTTCCAAGTCTGATACGCTGATCTTATGATTAACAATCAGGTGCTCCCTCCACTGGCCTGAATTGGTTCAGGTGTTTGATTCTGCAGCCTGAAGGTGAAACTTAAGTCAGCATCAGGTTCAGCCTGGATGTGCACAGATGACTAATTTAGTGCTGTTGATACTGAGAAATAGGACCTAAAATTTTCTTGACTTGAAGTGAACCCTTTGGGATAAGTAAAATTTTTCCTAGATAAAAAAAAGTACTAGATAATTCTGGGAAGTCACTCCTAGATGTATTTTTGATCCATAGTGTAACTCTTTTGGGGGCATAATGCATCATATATTTTTTTAAAAATCAAAATGATTAGTCAGAGGATGAGTCTTTCCATCGTTGGCGCAGAATGACACATAAGCAAGTCTCTGAGCCACTTGGACTATTTCCTCTGCAAGTACTACCTTTTCCCTGGGGGCACGATCTCAAATTGTTCAGAATTAAAGATAAATGAGAATAAAGGATAAATGCTAGCCAGTGTTGAGTGGTATTGCTTGCACTGTTTAAGTGGTATGTTTTTATTCTTTTGAGAAATAGTCTGCGAATGGTTATCTTCTACTTCAATTATTTTCTCTTGCATTTAGCATCATTTATTGATATTTGTTTATTTCAGAGATGAAGTGAGAGAAAGAGAGATATAGAAACATCAATGATGACAGAGAATTATTGATCGGCTGCCTCCTGCGTGCCCCACACTGGGCATTGAGCCCACAACCCTGGCATGTGCCCTGACTGGAAATTAAACCTCGACCTCCTGGTTCATAGGTCGACTCAACTGAGCCATGCTGGCTGGGCTAGCATCATTTATTGATAAAAGCACATGTCCATTATTAGAACTATGTGCCAAGGAGAGAAGGGAAAAGGACAGTTTCTTTCACGTGAGAATAGTTTTTGTTTTAATTTTATCAAACTTCATGTATTTACCCTCTGTAGGACTCAGTTCTTTTATCATATCATCCTCCTCCCTCCTCCCCAATGATTTCATGGTCCCAATAGTGACATCTTTTGTCAGGCCAGTGCTTTTGCCTGACATGTTCCGTGTGTCCTGGTGTTAGGCCATGAAAGATGGGATAACATAGAGTATGTGTTGGGACATAAGAGTATCAGTTGGGACACGGAGCATCAGTCCCAACACAGGGCCTCCAAGTGCTTGTGAGAATCTGCACTTGACCCTCAAGCCTGTCATAGCCCTAACAGGTATGTCTGTGTGACAGACGTTGGTTAGTAAACATTCGTTCAGCAGCAGCTGAGTGAAGATTAGTCCTGATTGGGTTGCGACCTCTGGGTGCTAGAGGGAAGCTGGCTTCCAAGGAAAACAAGGCTCCGTGCTGTCGTTGCAGATCGCCACAAGCGCTTAGCACAACTGCAGCAGCCTTCCAAGAGGAACCCCCACTACCAGACCTTAGAGCGCGACCTCATTGAATTACAGGAGCAGCAGCTGTTTGAACTCTTTGTGGTAGTGTCTCTGCAGAAGAAACCATCAGAAATAAGCTACAGTCCCCAGGTCATTCAGCAGTTCCCTGGCAAGGTAGGTGCAAACAGGCAGGGGGCATTCAGGAATGTTCCTGTGTCTCTGCATGTATTTATTTCTTCTCTCGTTTATTGTTGTCTTGGTCAGCTTTTAGTAGTGTGCTGTACTTCCTATAGGGTCTGGTAGATGACACTGATGACATCTTTTTGTGTATGTATGTAGGTGTGTGTGTGTGTGTGTGTGTGTGTGGATAGATAGATAGATAGATAGATATTGATATCACAGAGGAAGGGAGAGGGAGAGAGAGATAGAAACATCAATGATGAGAGAATCCATGAGAAACATCAGCTGCCTCCTGCATGCCCCACAATGAGGATCGAGCCCACAACTGGGCATGTGCCCTGACCGCGAATTGAACCGTGACTTCCTGGTTCATAGGTTGACGCTCAATCACTGAGCCATGCAGGCTGAGCTCTGATGACATCTTATATCAAGCATGAGCTGCCACCTCAAGGGGGAAAAAAGCTCATTATCCAAGTTTGTTTTTTATTTTTTGCTCTGCTATTTACTAAGTGACCTCTAACAAGTTACAAAGCCTCCATTTTCTCGTCCTTATTGAGAGGAATAATAAATGTGGCAGAACAGGGTAGCAGTTTAGAGCATGAATTCTAAACCAGCTATCTGCATTTGCCACTTATTAGCTCTGTGACTTTGAGCAATTACATAATTGTCCTGTGCCTCGGTTTCTTCATTTATAAAATGGGGGAAATCATAATAATGGCCATTCCACTGAGCTGTGGTGAGGACTCAATGAGCTATATAAGGCCCTTTGAACAGTGCCTAGCCCATAGTAAGCCCACTATGGTGCTAGCCGTTAGTGGGGATTTAACGACATAATGTATGCAAAGCGCCATTCCTGGCACATGTAAGCGCTTGGTAAATGGTAGCTGTTATTTTTTTTTATTGGTAGCTATTATTAACAATATTATTTAGTTGCCTTTTTCAAAACATGATTCATTCATTTCATCAAATATTTCTTAAATACCAACTGTTTGCCAATATTAGGTGCTAGGAATACAAATGAAAAAAATCTTCTTGGTCCCTGCCCTTACAGGGCTTAGAACACAGACCCCAGATGTGGCTCTGAGCTTCGTGGCAGCAAATACAAAGAGAGGAACATAATCATTGCATCAGGGCTTGCAAACCGTGGCCTCTGAGCAAATTGAGCCTACAGGTTTTCTTTTTATTTGTGGTGTTTTTGTAAAAATAATAACAATAAATTATTTGTTGCCAATGTTTAAAAGTCAAATTTCACATAAAAACCTGTGCTTCTGCTTTTTCCTGAGAAACTGGAAAGCCTACCCGCACTCAGCCTACATTCCTGAGCGGCAGAAATTGGCTGAAACTGAGTAAGCCATGGCTGACTTCATGGGCACGTGACCAGCACAGTCACATGAGGCCCCTCCCTCAGAAGAGCCCTGTGCTGGGGATTGAATGCTCTGTAGTCCCCACTGCAATTCTTAATAACGTTGTCTTTGAATTTGTGTTTTGGAAGTGAGATCCGATGGGACAAGGAGGCAAGAGGCTAGGTCTTAAATGCTTGGTTCATGCATGGTCTCACCTCTTGCCACCTCCCCAGGATGGTTCTCTACTTGTCCTCTCCCCTGCCCCCTGGTTTCCTGGGCCCTGTCTGACTTCCTCCCTTCTGCCCCTACTCAGTGACTACTGCCCCCTCTGTCCCTGGCAGGGACTTGGGCATAGGCATGGAGAGGGTCAGGACCAGGCAAGCATTGCCCCACAGAATCTCTAGGCAACGCATAGCGAGACCTTCCCTGTCTGGGCTGGCAGAGCCACGCATGTTCAGTGGTGCCTTGGTGGGGCAAGAACTTCCACCACCCTCAATCCAAGGACCAAGCACACCTCCCTGTGGAGGCTGCAACCCATGGGGGTTGCCTCGCTGCTGTGGGTTGGAGCAGTGGCCCGAGAGATGGGGAGAAGCCTGGCTTAGCTTCCTCACCTCTAGTTGGGACACAGTTTCAGTTCTGCATCTGGAAACCCATCAGCTGGTGGGTCACTTGTGCACCAGATTGCGGGCCAGGACCTCTGGGTGCCAGTGAGGGTTGTGAGGGTCTGCATTTGACACCAGGATCCTTGTGACTGAGGGAGCATGACATTAAATAGCAAATAAAAACCCCATCACAGGGTGAAAGACCACAGGAGAAAATGTTTTATATTTTATTTTATGTTTCATGTTTACTGCTTTTTGAACAAGGGGCCCACAGTTCACCTTGCACTGTGCTCTGCAGATTAAGTAGCTGGCCCTGGTGAGGAGTGATCCCTGTAAATAGGGACGTTTGCTCACTCCCAGCTTCCTCCTTGGAGCACTTCTCTCATTTACGTCATCTGCTCAGCCCTGTTAGGACTTTTGGTTTCTAACCTTGAGTTACACGTTTCACTAAAAAAGCTAGTGAAGAACAACTGTACTGGAATCTAAGAGATGTTTCCTGTATGGATTCTCATTTTTTAAAAATTCTCAGCAACATCCCAACTATAAATAAATCAATAAGTTTAGTTTTTAATAAAATTTCTCAGTGTAGCCTGAGAGCACGGGGTCATGGCCCTGCTTAGTAACATGGGACCATTAGAGTCTAAAATAATGTAATCTAGATGGTCTTGAGGAATCAAATTTTCCATAAAGAGGAACTTCACACACCCCCGCCACCATTTTTGATGTCTTATATTTGCAGAGAGAAATCTTGAGGTTGAACCTGTTTTCAACACAGCCTGAATTAATCGGCTCAGAACCAGATAAGGATCCGGTTGACTCTGGCAGTGACTCAGGGGTGTCTCTGAGCGATTTGTTAGCATCTTTGTGCACTAGGCACCATAAGTTAGGGATGGAAAGAGCTGACCAAGCCCCTCTCGGTCCTATTGCAGGAAACCTTGAATGAAAATGATTGTGAGTCATTTAACAATATGCTTTCCATTTCTTAAGAACTTAATATTCAAGTGACCCAGAATGGATGCATGTTTTGCTTTAGAAATGAAAGGATAGAGCATTTGTATTAGTTACATGAAGGCAATATGGTAATTAGACTTATTATCTGCTTGTTTTTATACTAAATTTTCAATGTCTTTTGGTTTAACTAAACTTAGACTGTCCTTTAAGTATAATACCAGACTTGCACAAAAGGGTCTTCCATGCTGAAATTTTACAGGAAGCTGCAAACCAGTAATTAGGTAGCAAAGATTACATGCTAAGGGAAATGATTATATATGGAGTGGATTCTAAAAATTCCTTTTCTGAAAAACATTCATCTGCTTTTTCAAAACATCTTTGATTATTGATCAGAGAGTATCTAGATCTGACTAGGTTTTTGCTATCAGTATATTATAGAATAGATTTTTATTTATTTGATATTCCATGTCCAGTTATAGGATCTCCACAATACCATTTCTGTGTAAAAATAGAATTTTTTAATTCTCAGTAACTTTGTTCTCAATGCATCTTCAGTGGTTACCAGTCTATTAGTCACCTGCATTGTTATCTTTTTCAGGGTGATAATGGCTTTAAGCAATCCAAAGACACTGAAGAGAGGCTCAAAGTTATCCCCAAATTTTGTTTTCCTGATTCGAAGGACTGGGCTCCAACCTCAGAACTCAAGAGGTAAATAGGCTACTTTATCTGGTTTCTATTTGTTGGAACCACAAACATAGAATCAAACAGAGTGCTTGAGAAGTGGGAGAGCCAGCAGGGAAGCAGTGTGGACTGTGGCAGGTCAAGGAGGCAGCGGGGGGAAAGGAAGAAACAGAATTAGAACATTTCCTCTCTGGGACTCAGGAAAAAAACCCCATGGAATAATGTCAGTGTCAAAGGGAAAACAAGTGTGAGAGTCTCTCCACTTTGCCAGTCCTGCAGAGAAAAAAGTTCCACTTTACATACAACCAGAAATGCCACCAAGTGGATAGAAAAGGAAAAGGCAACCTTAGGGACTCAGAAAAGGGTCAAACAGAGCAATGCATCTGTTTCTCCTTCGAGTTGATAGAAGAAGCCACAGTCCAGATTGTATGTGCCACTGTGGGAGGCTCCCATGTAGAATATTGAGAGGGGAGATATAAAGAACTTCTTCCCAGTATCTAGAGAAAAATACCATATTTAATTAATAAACCATTGTGCGTGCATCCTGCTTATAAATCGGTAACTGCTTTGTTCAAAACTGTAATTATTGATCATGTCGTTTTGACTGGAAGGGTGGTTATGTGAACCATGTCACATGCCGCTGACCTGCTGGAAGACAGCCTCAGCTGTTGCCTAAGGAGCCCTGCCCTTCCACCTCCAATTGCCTCCAGACTAAGCTGCTGTAACCAGTTTAGCCTGATTGCCACTCTCATCTCTGCGCCATCAATCCTGAGGCTTTTGTGCTGGCAGTTACACTTACAACCACACAGGCCACTTCTTCCTTATTGCCCTGGCTGCTCCATGGTCGGTTCCCTGCCCCCATCCCACCCCCGCCCAAACAAGTTATGTATGTTTATCCTAGAACTAGAGGCCCTATGCACAAAATTCATGCACTGGTAGGGTCCCTAGCAGCTGCCAGCGGCCAGGGGCTCCCTCCCTTCCCCTGGTTGGTCCCGCCCCCTGGTTGAACTCCCAAACAATTGTCGAGGGGACAATTTGCATACTATGCTTTTATTATATAGGATATTTGGAAAATACAGCAAAGTAAATAAAAAGCAGAAATTAGAAGTCACTGGCATTCTGGTTACTCAGAGATAATCACTCTCTAACTAAAGTCTTCTTTTCATAAATTATCTCTGCATATATTTTCTCTCTGTTTCTAATGAGGAATTGGTGATTTTCCTATGAACAGTATCCTTAATTTTTATATATTAAGGATACTATCCTTTGCCTATCACTATTTCATATGGCCTCTCAGAACTAAATAGAAGACTTTTGAAGGGAAAAATAGCTTATCACAATCATTTATGGCTTTTCGATATGTTTGACTAAATTGGACATTCAACAAAAGGAAAATAGGCTTGATGAATAACTAGACTGGATAAATAGAAAGTAGCCCTGACCGGTTTGGCTCAGTGGATAGAGCATTGGCCTGTGAACTGAAAGGTCCCAGGTTCGATTCTGGTCAAGGGCATGTACCTTGGTTGTGGGCACATCCCCAGTAAGGGGTGTTCAGAAGGCAGCTGATCGATGTTTCTCTCTCATCAATGTTTCTAACTCTCTATCTCTCTCCCTTCCTCTCTGTAAAAAATCAATAAAATATATTTTTAAAAAAAGAAAGAAAGTAAAAGGAGGCAATAGCATCAACAATTCGTCCTCTACCTGTTCTCTCACTCCAGTGCAAGACTGGACATTCCCAAGGCCTGGACTTTCTCCCTCGGGAGCAATATGACTTGCTGTAAATATAATATTAATCCCTCCTCTTACAGTCACTGCTGTTAGACTAATTGTCAATTGTTTGTTCTATGAGGAATGTCAAACAATTGTTTGGATCTCAAACTAGTTCCTGTTTTTGTTTTTTGTTTTTAGTGAGACGTTCTCCTTTGTCTTAACTGGTGAAGATGGGAGCCGGTGGTTTGGTTACTGTAAGAAGCTTTTGGTAAGTTGCAGACTTGTGCTACAGGCAGGGTTGGTCAAGGAGCAATAGAGAGTCACACTAGGAACTTCAGAAACGCTATCTCCCGATGAGTTTGAGGGTTACTCAATGATCTGTGAGTTGCCCTTGCCGGTTTGGCTCAGTGGATAGAGCGTTGTTGACCTGCGGACTGAAGGGTCCCGGGTTCAATTCCAATCAAAGGCACATGCCCGGGTTGCAGGCTCAATCCCCAGTTAGGGGTGCGCAGGAGGCAGCCAATCAATGATTCTCTTTTTCTCCATCTCTCTCTCTCCCTCTCTCTTCCTCTCTGAAATCAATAAAAACATTTTTTTTAAATGATATGAGTGTTAAAGAAGCTATGTTAGTTTTCAACAATAAGAGCAAGATTGGGGTTAGCCACAGAGTACTTTAGAATAAAAGGGTGTGGATTTATTTTATTTGTTGGTTTGTAATAGAGAAAGAAACCACTGACACAGTGCCTGCATCAGTCTGGATATATTTGAGGAATGGAGCACAATGAGCCAATCCAGGGCTCCGAGTTACTTTCTTCTTGCTTAAATGCCCCCACTAAACCTGGAATAATTATGCTATCGTATTTTACCATTTTCCCATCTTTCAGTGTTCATTGAGGATGAGAACCTTGATTTCTACTCTGTATGAAAGAGTATTAAGAGAGTGTTAATAGTCCAAATTAGTAAAAAACTTACGCTGCTTAACTTTTGCTTTGTGTGTTTTCTTTTAGCCTGAAGGCAAAGGAAAGCGACTCCCCGAGGTTTACTGCATGGTCAGTCGCCTAGGCTGCTTCAACCTTTTTTCAAAGGTGAGTGGAGAATACAGTGGAAAGCGGTGTTCTCTCTGAGCTCTGAGTAAGTTTGGTTTCCGATGACGTAGAGTTCCCATTAGTACAGTGGTTCTCAACCTTCTGGCCCTTTAAATACAGTTCCTCATGTTGTGAACCAACCATAAAATTATTTTCGTTGCTACTTCATAACTGTAATGTTACTACTCTTATGAATTGTAATGTAAATATCTGATATGCAGGATGGTCTTAGGCAACCCCTGTGAAAGGGTCGTTCGACCGCCAAAGGGGTCATGACCCACAGGTTGAGAACCGCTGCATTAGTAAGTTAGAGCCACAGGTTTGAAGGCTTTAATCTCTAATCCAGATGCTCTTGCCCTGCCCCTTATCTTGGTCTGCTAAACCTCCCAGCTTAAAGGAGAACATAGCCTGAAGCTAACTTGTCTCATTTTTTTCCCTGGACCCCCAACTGCAGGAAATAGAAAGGGGCTCATCTTCTAAAAATAAGTTGATTTATTTTAATAACTTTTCTTGGGGATACAAAGATACCCCCAAGAGGTATAATGCCTTTAATGAAGGCAGATAATGCTGAAGCTTATTTTTTTTAATCTGTTGGTGTTATTTTTAAATGTGGGGGCCAAGTTTGTCAGTTCGTTAATAGGATTCATTATGTCTTTTGACTGAATTCCTAATAAAAGAGCATATTGTGTGTGTGTAGATTTTGGACGAAGTAGAGAAGAGAAGAGAAATGTCTCCAGCTCTGGTTTATCCCTTCATGCGAAGTGTCATGGAAGCTCCTTTCCCCGCCCCTGGACGCACCATCACAGTGAAGAGCTACCTCCCTGGGGCTGGAGATGGGGTGAGTTTGCTCATTTTGAAAAGGTTTGATAGCTGCCAAAAAGCAGGCCTGACAGTAGGAGGCAGTTTCCAGAAGCCTCGGGGCATAGTTTTCCCTTCTCTGTAAACAATATAGAATGTTTTAGTCTCACAAAGCACCAGAGAAATATCCAGTTGAGCTGCTTCGCAATGACAATTTCAGGCATTACAATAAATTGTGATAAATGAAGATTATAATACTACTAGAGGCCTAGCGCACGAAATCGCTCGAGACCCAGACCCACTGTGCCGGTGGGACCCCAGACCCGCCCCGCCCCACGCGAGCCCAGCCAGCCAGCCTTGCGTGAGCCCCGAGAGCCCTGCCAGCCCCGTTCGAGCCCTGCCTCGCTGTGCGAGCCGCGAGTCTCAGCCCGTGAGGTGCTCCATGCACCTCCTGGTGACCATAACAGCATCACAAACCACAGGCCTTTTATTATATAGACTAGAGGCCCAGTGCACAAAAATTTGTGCCCTCTCACAGTCTGGAACCCCTTGGGAGATAACCAACTGCTGGCTTAGGCCCGCTCCCCAGGTGGCAGATGGCAGGCCCCATCCCTTGGTGCCTGCCCTGCCTCCCCGGGTCGCGCACACGGCAGGACCGATCTGGGGGTTGGGGCGCCGCCCCGGGTTGGTTTGCACATGGGACGCCCCGGGCGGGTCCCACACGGGACGCCTGGCGGGCCGGCAGATTGCTGCTGCCCCACCCGGCTGCCCCGGGTCAGGTCGCACATGGGACACCCGGGTGGGCCGACCAATCGCTGCTGCACCACCTAGCCACCCCGGGTCGGGTTGCACACGGGATGCCCGGATGGAGGCCGGGCAGGTTGGCCGATCACAGCTGCACCGCCCGGCCGCCCCGGGTTGGGTCACACACAGACGCCCGCTACCCCGCGTCGCAGATAGCAGGGCAGGCGGGATGGCGCTGTCCCACCCCACCGCCCCGGGTTGCAAATAGCAGGCCCAGATGGCGGCAGGTCAGGCGGGATGGTGCTGTCCTGCCCTGCCTGCAGTATGCAAATTAGCCGCCATCTTTGTTGGTGGCTAATTTGCATATTGCGCTGATTAGCCCATGGGAGGCGTAGCGAAGGTACGGTCAATTACCATGTTTGTCTATTATTTATTATATAGATTGTCAGTGAGGTAAAGGATTCTACCAGAAATTTACAAAATTACAAAGGTGTTCAGTCTTGGGATTAGACTAGGCAGCTTTACAAACTCTTTGTAGCAGGCCCTTTTCTTGAATTTGACCTGTAAAAGAATGACAGGATCCATTAGTCCTGTCATTAGCATTGCATCAGCTCCCCTGATTCAGATTCTTGCATTGCAGTCAGTTGAACTCTGCCGACCACTGGATTCCCGGCTGGAACATGTGGACTTTGAATGTCTCTTTAAGTGCCTGAGCGTGTGTCATCTCATTCGGGTCTGTGCGTCTCTCCTTTTGGAGCGAAGGGTAATCTTTGTGGCCAACAGCCTAAGGTGAGAAATAAGTAAATTATGTTACTTTCTACTGGTGTTTTATGGATTTTGACCATTTTAAAATTTGGGCATATTAAAAAAAATTGTATGATTTTAATCAGTTACATAATGCCTTGGTGACATAGATAATTCTAAATGGTAAATAATCCAAAACCTATTTGCACTAAGCTATACCGGTGACTTTTGGGTGTTGCAGTTAATTTACCTTTCTAAATGTGTTTTTGCTTAAGCAGTTAAAAATTGGTATTGCTTTTCTATGTACACACCAATTTTTAGCAATATAAATTGGAAGTTCCAGACTTTCAGTAAATTAAGTTAAAATTTTAAAGAAAATGTTAAAAATGGGTAATCACAGAATTGTTCATTTATGCTCACTGGCATCAGTTAGTAATTCTAACATAACATCTGCAGTGCCCTCCATGTGATGTTCTGTATGTGATGCCATTTGCTTTCTCCTCTTGCCAGCACCCTGTCAAAATGTGGCCATGCTGTGGTTGCCACACTGTATCCATTTACCTGGCAGCATACCTACATCCCAGTCCTGCCAGCATCTATGATCGACATCGTGTGCTCACCTACTCCGTTCCTTATTGGAATCCTGTCTTGCTCCTTACCACAGCTCCAGGACCTGCCCATTGAAGAGGTGAGAGGGGAGTAGTGCCTATGGAAAGACTGGCGCACTGACAGCGAAAACAAATGATCTTTAAAGAGTGATGGAGTTGTTAATTAATATTAATACATAATTATTCTTAATGCATTATGCTATCATATTTTTTATCTTTTTACTGCAATGAGAAAAATCCTACAGTATACCTGAATCTATGGTACACATATATCTTATTTACAATAGTGAACTATGAACTCATTGTGTTATTTCGAAGGTTGGATCTTTTTTTAATTATTGATTTCAGAGAGGAAGGGAGAGGGGGAGAGAGAGAGAAACATCAATGATGAGCTGCCTCTTGCACACCCCACACTGGGGATTGAGCCCGCAACCCGGGCATGTGCCCTTGACTGGAATCGAACCCAGGACCCTTCAGCCTGCAGGCCTACGCTCTATCCACTGAGCCAGACTGGCTAGGGCAAGTCTTTTTTTTTTAAGTCAAACATAAAAACTACTCTGAGTTAACTTAAAAATTATTTCAACTATAGCACACATGTAGATGAGTGCCCAAAACAAAATGTACAGCTCAGTGAATTATCACAATGTTGCTTATGTAACTAACACTAAATAGAGTGGGAACATTGCAGCAATGGAAACACTGCCAGCCTCCCCTCTCTCTTCCCAGAGGTCCCCTCATGCCTCCTTCTAGTCACTGTTCCCTTCCCCACCCCCCACAGAAAGTAACCACTGTCTTGACTTGTTTTACTTCAGAGTTTTACATCTAGGCATGTACCCCTAAGTAATATAGTTCAGTTTTGCCTGGTTTTAAGTTTGATATAAATGGACCTGCCCATTGAATATATATATTTTGAATGGCTTCTTTTGATAGCATTATGTCTGTAAGATTCATCCATGTTGATGAATTTAACAGTAATTTGATCATTCTCATTGTGTGTAGTATTCCTTTGTGTGAATGTGCCAGTTTTCTTGTCCATCCTACCATTGTTGGATATTTGAGTTGTTTCCAATTTGGGGTTATTATGAATAATGCTGCTGTAAATATTTTTGTATATGACCCTGGGTATATATATGTGCATGCATTTCTATGGGTATATACTTGGAAGTGGAGTTGCCGGGTTATAGGGTAAGCATATCTTTAACTTTAGTAAATAAAGTCCATACTGTTTTCCAAAATAGTTGTGGCAAGCTAAACTCCCTCCAGTAGTGTATAAGAGTTCCTATTGCTCCACTTCCTTACCAGTAATACTTGTCATCATCAGTTTGTGTAATTTAGCCTCTCAGGTGGGTGTGTAGTGGTATACTCATTGTGGTTTAATTTGCATTCCTTGATTACTGTTGAGGGTGAGCATCTTTCTATTTATTGGCCATTTGAAATCATTTTGTATAAAATTCATTGTCTATCTTCCCTACTGGATTGTTCATCCTCACTGATTTTTAAGAGGCCATTTTATATTTTAGATACCAGCCCTTTATGGCTTGCCTTTTCATTCTCCAAAACAGCATTTTTTAATGCACAGAAGTTCTTAATTTTAATGTGGTTAGAATTGTCAATCTTTTCCTTTATGGTAGGAGTTTTTTTGTATGTGTGAGCTACTTAAATTTTTGCTTATATTAACTTTATGGAGATATCCTTCTACTTATATCTTGGAAGCTTTGGAAGCTTTATTCTTGTGCTTTTAATATATATATGTTTATTGATTTCACCCCTTACCGCAAGAGAGAAACATCGATGCATGAGAGAGAATCATGACTGGC